CAGCCAGCTTTGCTGGCTGGGGAATTCTGGGAGTTGAAGTCCTCCAGGCTTCAAGTGGCCAAGGTTGGAGACCCCTGCTTTAGGGACTCCCAAGATTACTGCCGTGAGATGAGGGGAGGGCGTTCAGCAGCCAAGTTGGGTAAGCAGAGGCTAGGTGCCACCTGTCCCCCTTCTTCGGCCATCTCCTTTTCGGGAAGGGGGGGCAAGTGGGTTGATTTTGGGACCTATTTTTCTATGGAGGGAAGTTGGCGATGGGCGTCTGGCAGCATTTGCAAGAGAGGCCGAAAAGGGACCGACGGCTTTCGAGCTGGGAGCGTTTCTGCCCACCGTGGCAAGCAACCCCTCGTTCAGAGCTCTGGTGCCATCAAGCTGGATGGGCTTCACAAGGGGAGGAAGGTACCGGTGGCCGCCCCCTCCCTTTTCTTGGGTGGGGGCTGCTTGGCTCCAAAGGAAGTGAAAAGTGGCCCCTTGATGGCTCCGGAAACAAAGGTGCTGGTGGCTTATGAGGCAGGAGCAGAACTGGAACCAGTCAGAGGCCATAATTGATAACGGGCATAACATGGTGGCCCTGTGACTCCTGGACTGGGGGGTCAGGAGTAGGTGGGTAGAGCCCCTGGCTCCAGTTCTGAAGTACAATGGCTGGAAAGCTCAGTTCCTCCCCCCCCCTCCCCGGGAGACCCTCAGGGAAGACCGTTGTTGGCCCATTGGGGTGGTGAGGGTGTGGAGCCGGCCATATTGGGGGGCCGTCGTCATCTCCCGTCTTGCCCGATTTCCAGAAAACGCCAAGGACTCCGAGAGGTGGAGAGAACATTGGGAGGAAAAGCATCAGAGGAGGCGGCGGATCAAGCCACGCTCAGTCAGTAAGGAGAAGTGGGTGGAGACCCTGGTTGTGGCTGACACCAAGATGGTGGAGTACCACGGCAGCGAGCATGTTGAGAAGTATGTCCTGACAGTCATGAACATGGTGAGCATTGTGAAAGGTTGTGCTGGTTGTGGAACAGGCCAAGGGAGGTTGGGCTCTGCTTCTGGGAAGAAGTTCGGGCTTATTTGGTTGATTGAAACACTTTGGGATGCATTTGTGGGCACAGGGGAGAACTTGCCTTCTCGTGCGCAGAACTCACGGAGCGACTCCACTTCTTCCATTATGCAGGTGGCTGGTTTATTCCATGATGCCAGCATTGGGAACCCGATCCACATTTCTATTGTGCGTCTTATCTTTCTGGAAGATGAGGAGGTAAGAAGAAGAGGAGGAAGGCATTACGCAGAGCTCCTTTTACTCACCTCTGCAGGTTCAGGACCCAGGAGAAAAATGACAGGGTTCATTCAGTTGCCTCCACTTGCTCTGTTTCATGTTCCTCTGGGATGCTCCATAGTTTGTGCATCCTCTTGTTTCTTCCTGCAGCAATTCCACTGCCTTCTGTTATAGCCTCTTTTGGGTTATAGATAAAGCTTTTAATTGCTTTTCATGGTTTTCAATGGTTTGTCAGCAATAATAATCACGCCGGTGCGACATCTCTGTCTGCTGATTGAGGGTTCTAATTTTTTTTCCTGTAGGAGGACCTGAAAATCAGCCACCATGCCGACAATACCTTGAGGAGTTTTTGCAAGTGGCAGAAAGCCCTCAACCCCAAGGGGGATGCTCACCCCTTGCACCACGACGTCGCCATCTTGCTCACCAGGTATCCCTGTGATTTCAGTGCCACCTGTAACACCTCTGCCCATTTCACTGAAAGTGAGGATCGATCCCCTTTGAAGAGAGAACCCCTTGGATGGAGGCCGTGCTCCAACACGGAGTCTTACAGTCTTATTTGGAGATGCCCACTGGACCTGAGATGCATGTTGGTTGGCTTCTGTTTTTGAGCTGGGCCCCTTGCTTTTTTCCTAGAGTTCTCTAATTGCCAATTTATCTTCCTTCAACCCAGCTGGGTCTTGCTCAGTACAGTGATCCTCTCTTTTGTTGTGTATGTGTGCTTCTCTCTGACTCGGAAAGGAAAGATCTCTGCACTGCCATGAACCATCCGTGTGAGACGCTGGGCCTGGCCCACGTCTCTGGCATGTGCCAACCACACCGGAGCTGCAACGTGAATGAGGACACGGGTCTTCCACTGGCCTTCACCGTGGCCCATGAACTGGGACACAGGTAAGGTTGCAGCCGGGTACCTTGGCCTGTCCAACATTAAGGCTGAGCAGAGATTTGCAGAGGTAGATCAGAGCTGGAGAGGTTCACATGTCCCAGCCCCAGGGACAGATGGTTTACCTGCTCATTGTTCACAGGGTCCTCCAATGGAACCTCCCCCCCCCAAAGTCTCCCCCTTAAATAAGCTGAGAGGTTTGGGGCTCTGGGGTGAATGCTGTCCAGCTGCTGAGGTTTTGGTCACCTTGCTCCATTCTTTTCTTATGAGCCATGCCAAGGAAATTCTGGAAGAGATCTTGGTTTCGGTTGTGGTTGGCTTACAAGGACTTGGCAGAAAACATTGAAAGCATAATCTTCATCTAAAGGGGTGGAGGAGGAGAGACACGGACAAAACAATCCCTTTTGCGGTCATAGTGGACCACAGCCCTAAATCATCTGCTTCCTTCTAAAGCTCCCTTAAGCCACATGCTTGCATAGCATGCAAAAGTCGATGTAGTCCCCTTTAGCATCCTCAATTGGGATTGGCAACTCCGTCACTAAAGAAAGCGGTTATTAATGGGGAATCATGTGACCGCAACTCTTCCCAGCTTGAAACTTATAAGACTAGTCGGTTTTGTGTTTGTCTCCTAACCACTTTGTCACCCTTTGGAATGCCCACCAGGGCATTGGAATAATTAACAAGAATTGAATTAATGTATTTGTTTGCATTCATTGTGTTTATTGTACATCCGCTACATTCCCAAGAGAGTAAGCCAATATGCAATGGGGATTACCCATTGAAAGGAATGCCCTGGTGCCTGCAGCCACCCATGCGCTATGCAAACAGTCTGATACATCCCCAGGCTGTTCGTATAATAGGCTTGTGGCTACCGGTGCCTGCACATTCCGCTCAATGTGTACTACTCATTGTATGTTTTTTACTCTTTTGTTGTCCCTTCCTCCAATTTTTCCACTGAGTGAAAGAAAGATTGCCTGTAGAAATTGCTTAGATCTTTTCTCCCCTCCCAGATTGGAGAGGAAGGGATTACAAGAGAATTAGCAACGTGGGAAATAGATCGAAACCAATGTGCTGGCACCAGCAGACCCCTAGCGTGTTACACAAGCAGCCCGGTGTATTTTTTTTTTATTGTGTGCTTGCTTACTCTTCTATAATCCTTTCTTCTACAATCTCTGTTCTGCGAGGGGGAAAAAGAAAAAGAAAAATAGGTCAGTCATAGGACAAAGTCTACTGACTATCATGATGGTCGTGGAACAGCACCATCATAACGGAACCAGCACTGAACGAGGGAACTGAATAAGCAAGAACTGCCTATAGAAAAGATTGTTTGGCATTTGTTTAAAACCCATAAAAAGGTCAATTGGTAAAGTTATAAAAATGAAAAATCGGAGGGAGCTTCCTCTGAGAAAAGCAGCTGTGATTTCCCAAAGGCTTTGCCTGTTTTCTGACCCTGAAACTCTGACCCTGGTGGGGTCCACCTTCAAGCATGGTCTACAGCAGAAGTCTCCAAACTTGGCAATTTTAAGACTTGTGGACTTCAACTTCCAGAATTCTCCAGCCAGCTGGTTGGAGAATTCTGGGAGTTGAAGTCCACAAGCCTTAAAGTTGCCAAGTTTGGAGACCCCTGGTCTACAGGACCTCTCTAGGACTTCGCCTTGGAACCTAACAAAGCTGGCTGAGGAATTCTGGGAATTGAAGTCCACAAGTCTTAAAGTGGCCAAGGTTGGAGACCCCTGTTTTACAGGACCTCTCTAGGACTTTGCCTTGGAACCTAACAAAGCTGGGAGCTGAAGTCCATAAGTCTTAAAGTGGCCAAGGTTGGAGACCCTCGGTCTAGACCAGTGTTTCTCAACCTCAGCAACTTTAAGATGTGTCGTCGGTCTCTTCTCCTGGAATTCCTTAGCCATCTCATGAAAGGCCTTTGCGAGTTGTTTGGTTCTAAGCGTAGTTCTGGTGATCCTTTCTGGGTGGCTTTCCACCCACCCCCCACCCCATCCCAGTAACTCCCGTTGACACAATTGCCACCCCATCTCCTGCCCCCAGACTGGCGACTTACCCTTTTCAGCCACACTCAAGAGGAGACGTGCCTCACTGACACGGGCCTTGGCCAGCGGGGTCCTGCCTTTACTGGTAGCCACCATCTCCAGAGATGTAGGCATAGATCCGTGATGGCGAACCTATGGCACACGTGCCACAAGTGGCACACAGAGCCATTTGTGCCGGCACGCGAACCGCAGGCAAACCTACCTCACTGCACATGCACAGGCCTCACAGCTGATTTATCTACTGGTTTCAGGCCTTTTTCGGCCTCCCAGAGGCTTTTCAGGTTGAATAGGTCCATTTCGTCACTTCCTGTAATACCGGAAGTGACGAAACGGGTGTATTATTCAGCCAGAAAAGCCTTGCAGAGGCTTTTTCCAAGCCTCTGGGAGGCCGAAAAAGGCCTGAAACCAGCTGAAAAATCAGCTGTGAGGCGCAGTGCAGGTAAGGGGGTGGCGGGGGGATTGTGTGTGCATGCTCAAGGGCGTGGGGGGCCCCGCATTGAATTCTGGCTGCTGGCACATGAGTGCGCGTGCGTTAATGTGCGTGCAATTTTTGGCACAGGAGCCCCAAAAGGTTAGCCACCACTGGCATAGATGGAGAACCCTCTCCCCCCCTTGGCACTCTTGTTCCGTCCGCTGGGAAGGCCTCCTTCGCAGAATGTTTGATGGGTGGGGGTGTCATTCTCTTGCTCCCCCAACCTGCTTCCCGGCCCTTCCTTGGCCTCCCCAGAGAACTTGGGGAGTGACGCTTTGACGGTCCTTTGCACACGTGTGTCTCACCTCCGTTGGGGGCTCTGCCTTTTGCAGTTTTGGGATTCAGCACGACGGCAGCGGCAATGACTGTGAGCCAGTTGGGAAAAGGCCTTTCATCATGTCTCCGCAGCTCCTGTACGACACTTCGCCCCTCACCTGGTCTGTCTGCAGCCGGGAATACATCACACGCTTCCTTGAGTAAGTCAGCCGCCACCCCCACCCGCCTTCCGCAGCAGCCCCGTTCGGTGGTGGGATTCAATTTTTTTTTACTACTGGTTCTGTGGGCGTGGCTTGTGGGCATGTCATGGCTTGGTGGGTGTGTCATGGCTTGGGGGTGTGGCTTGGTGGGCGTGACAGAGGAAGGATAGTGTAAATCTCCCATTCCCTCCCCACTCCTGGGGGAAGGTTACCTACCACCGGTTCTCCGAACTACTCAAAATATCCGCTACTGGTTCTCCAGAACTGGTCAGAACCTGCTGAATATCATCTCCGGCCTCGTTGCTCTCTCAGGGGTCACAGAATGGGGAGTCTCCTGCACCCCTTTTCCTCCTCCTCCTCCTCCTCCTTATTCTTTCTCCTCCTCCTTCTTCGTTTTCTCCTCCTCCTCCTTCTTCCTCCTCCCTCTTCCTCTTCTCCTTTTTCTTCTCCTCCTCCTCCCCCTCCTCTTCCTTCTCCTCTTCCTCCTCCTTCCTCTTCCTCCTCCTTCCTCTTCCTCCTTCCTCC